CAAGAAATAAGTTTGCTGAAGCAAAAGAAAAAAATTTAAACAACGACAAGGAAATGTATTGAACGATTATACATATTTTTTTTTAAACTTCCTATAATAACCGAACGAAAACCTAGGCAAGAATAAACAAAAATTTAAGACCGTAAATGAAAAGTTTTATTTAAAATTTTTGTTAGTGCTTTTATTTAAAATGCCTAGAATTTAAAGCATAAAAAAGTTGTAATCTATTACGAGTATTATATTACTTAAAGCTCTTTGAATTTCGTATATGTATGTATGGCAAACAATTTATTTGTTTTATAACTTGCAACGTTTTTTAATTTAAATATTTATAGTGTATGCTGTTGACAAATTAATCATTTACATATACTCTTGCATTTGCTCACTTTTTTATAGATTACTATCAGAATTTATTTGAAATAAAATAAGAAATTTAAAAAATGACTTAAAATAAAGGAAGGATTCATGTGCCTGTAAATATGTACATATATGTGTGTATGTCCGCATTAATGTCTGTTAAAACAAAATTACCAACAAATTAACTCATCAATTTAATTATGCAATAACGTAAATTTTGCACGCATTCTTTTTGTTTAACATGCAAACTATGACGTTGTTGTGTAAATTGATACTGTACAAAAAAAAAAAAAAAATAACAAACTGAATTAATCATTGACGGGGTTTTCTGCAGTAAAATGTAAGCTTTTGGAAAATAGTAACTTTTATTATTGGGGAAATATTTAAAAATGATTCAGTTTTCAAATATTGAATAATAAAAAGTGTTGTTATCATGTTTGACATACAAACACATGTATACTGTAAATCTGCTGGCTTATAAAGTAGTTAAAGGTCTTGTACTTGTCTGGGCTCTTCTTTAAAATGGCGACTATAGTCTAGTTTATAATCTAGTCTAGTCTATAGTCTAGTCTATAGTCTAGTCTATAGTCTAGTCTATAGTCTAGTCTATAGTCTAGTCTATAGTCTAGTCTATAGTCTAGTCTATAGTCTAGTCTATAGTCTAGTCTATAGTCTAGTCTATAGTCTAGTCTATAGTCTAGTCTATAGTCTAGTCTATAGTCTAGTCTATAGTCTAGTCTATAGTCTAGTCTATAGTCTAGTCTATAGTCTAGTCTATAGTCTAGTCTATAGTCTAGTCTATAGTCTAGTCTATAGTCTAGTCTATAGTCTAGTGTATAGTCTAGTCTATAGTCTAGTCTATAGTCTAGTCTATAGTCTAGTCTATAGTCTAGTGTATAGTCTAGTCTATAGTCTAGTCTATAGTCTAGTCTATAGTCTAGTCTATAGTCTTGTCTATAGTCTAGTCTATAGTCTAGTCTATAGTCTAGTCTATAGTCTAGTCTATAGTCTAGTCTATAGTCTAGTCTATAGTCTAGTCTATAGTCTAGTCTATAGTCTAGTCTATAGTCTAGTCTAGTCTATAGTCTAGTCTATAGTCTAGTCTATAGTCTAGTCTAGTCTATAGTCTAGTCTAGTCTATAGTCTAGTCTATAGTCTAGTCTATAGTCTAGTCTATAGTCTAGTCTATAGTCTAGTCTATAGTCTAGTCTATAGTCTAGTCTAGCTATAGTCTAGTCTATAGTCTAGTCTATAGTCTTAGTCATAGTCTTAGTCTATAGTCTAGTCTATAGTATAGTCTATAGTCTAGTCTATAGTCTAGTCTATAGCTAGTCTATAGTCTAGTCTATAGTCTAGTCTATAGTCTAGTCTATAGTCTAGTCTATAGTCTAGTCTATAGTCTAGTCTATAGTCTAGTCTAAGTCTAGTCTTAGTCTATTCTATAGTCTAGTCTATAGTCTAGTCTAGTTAGTCTAGTCTATAGTCAGTCTATAGTCTAGTCTATAGTCTAGTCTATAGTCTAGTCTTAGTCTAGTCTATAGTCTAGTCTATAGTCTAGTCTATAGTCTAGTCTAGTCTATAGCTATGTCTAGTCTAGTCTAGTCTAGTCTATAGTCTAGTCTATAGGTCTAGTCTATAGTCTAGTCTATAGTCTAGTCTATAGTCTAGTCTATAGTCTAGTCTATAGTCTAGTCTATAGTTCTAGTCTATAGTCTAGTCTATAGTCTAGTCTATAGTCTAGTCTATAGTCTAGTCTATAGTCAGTCTATAGTCTAGTCTATAGTCTAGTCTATAGTATAGTCTATAGTCTAGTCTAGTCTAGTCTATAGTCTAGTCTAGTCTATAGTCTAGTCTATAGTCTAGTCTATAGTCTAGTCTATAGTCTAGTCTATAGTCTAGTCTATAGTCTAGTCTATAGTCTAGTCTATAGTCTAGTCTATAGTCTAGTCTATAGTCTAGTCTATAGTCTAGTCTATAGTCTAGTCTATAGTCTAGTCTATAGTCTAGTCTATAGTCTAGTCTATAGTCTAGTCTATAGTCTAGTCTATAGTCTAGTCTATAGTCTATCTATAGTCTAGTCTATAGTCTAGTCTATAGTCTAGTCTATAGTCTAGTCTATAGTCTAGTCTATAGTCTAGTCTATAGTCTAGTCTATAGTCTAGTCTATAGTCTAGTCTATAGTCTAGTCTATAGTCTAGTCTATAGTCTAGTCTATAGTCTAGTCTATAGTCTAGTCTATAGTCTAGTCTATAGTCTAGTCTATAGTCTAGTCTATAGTCTAGTCTATAGTCTAGTCTATAGTCTAGTCTATAGTCTAGTCTATAGTCTAGTCTATAGTCTAGTCTATAGTCTAGTCTATAGTCTAGTCTATAGTCTATAGTCTAGTCTATAGTCTAGTCTATAGTCTAGTCTATAGTCTAGTCTATAGTCTAGTCTATAGTCTAGTCTATAGTCTAGTCTATAGTCTAGTCTATAGTCTAGTCTATAGTCTAGTCTATAGTCTAGTCTATAGTCTAGTCTATAGTCTAGTCTATAGTCTAGTCTATAGTCTAGTCTATAGTCTAGTCTATAGTCTAGTCTATAGTCTAGTCTATAGTCTAGTCTATAGTCTAGTCTATAGTCTAGTCTATAGTCTAGTCTATAGTCTAGTCTATAGTCTAGTCTATAGTCTAGTCTATAGTCTAGTCTATAGTCTAGTCTATAGTCTAGTCTATAGTCTAGTCTATAGTCTAGTCTATAGTCTAGTCTATAGTCTAGTCTATAGTCTAGTCTATAGTCTAGTCTATAGTCTAGTCTATAGTCTAGTCTATAGTCTAGTCTATAGTCTAGTCTATAGTCTAGTCTATAGTCTAGTCTATAGTCTAGTCTATAGTCTAGTCTATAGTCTAGTCTATAGTCTAGGTCTATAGTCCTAGCTATAGTCTAGTCTATAGTCTAGTCTATAGGTCTAGTCTATAGTCTAGTCTATAGTCTAGTCTATAGTCTAGTCTATAGTCTAGTCTATAGTCTAGTCTATAGTCTAGTCTATAGTCTAGTCTATAGTCTAGTCTATAGTCTAGTCTATAGTCTAGTCTATAGTCTAGTCTATAGTCTAGTCTATAGTCTAGTCTATAGTCTAGTCTATAGTCTAGTCTATAGTCTAGTCTATAGTCTAGTCTAGTCTATAGTCTAGTCTATAGTCTAGTCTATAGTCTAGTCTATAGTCTAGTCTATAGTCTAGTCTATAGTCTAGTCTATAGTCTAGTCTATAGTCTAGTCTATAGTCTAGTCTATAGTCTAGTCTATAGTCTAGTCTATAGTCTAGTCTATAGTCTAGTCTAGTCTAGTCTATAGTCTATAGTCTAGTCTATAGTCTAGTCTATAGTCTAGTCTATAGTCTAGTCTATAGTCTAGTCTATAGTCTATAGTCTAGTCTATAGTCTAGTCTATAGTCTAGTCTATAGTCTAGTCTATAGTCTAGTCTATAGTCTAGTCTATAGTCTAGTCTATAGTCTAGTCTATAGTCTAGTCTATAGTCTAGTCTATAGTCTAGTCTATAGTCTAGTCTATAGTCTAGTCATAGTCTAGTCTAGTCTATAGTCTAGTCTATAGTCTAGTCTATAGTCTAGTCTATAGTCTATAGTCTAGTCTATAGTCTAGTCTAGTATAGTCTAGTCTATAGTCTAGTCTATAGTCTAGTCTATAGTCTAGTCTAGTCTATAGTCTAGTCTATAGTCTAGTCTATAGTCTAGTCTATAGTCTAGTCTATAGTCTAGTCTATAGTCTAGTCTATAGTCTAGTCTATAGTCTAGTCTATAGTCTAGTCTATAGTCTAGTCTATAGTCTAGTCTATAGTCTAGTCTATAGTCTAGTCTATAGTCTAGTCTATAGTCTAGTCTATAGTCTAGTCTATAGTCTAGTCTATAGTCTAGTCTATAGTCTAGTCTAGTCTATAGTCTAGTCTATAGTCTAGTCTATAGTCTAGTCTATAGTCTAGTCTATAGTCTAGTCTATAGTCTAGTCTATAGTCTAGTCTAGTCTATAGTCTAGTTTATAGTCATGTCTATAGTCTAACCTATAGTCTAGTCTATAGTCTAGTCTATAGTCTAGTCTAGTCTAGTCTACAGTCTAGTCTATAATCTAGTCTATAGTCTAGTCTATAGACTAGTTTATAGTCTAGTCTATAGACTAGTTTATAGTCTAGTCTATAGTCTAGTCTAGTCTACAGTCTAGTCTAGTCTACAGTCTAGTCTATAATCTAGTCTATAGTCTAGTCTATAGACTAGTTTATAGTCTAGTATATAGTCTAATCTAGTCTATAGTCTGGTATAATCTGTAGTCTAGTCTATAGTCCAGTCTATAGTCTCGTTTACTATCTATTCTATAGTACAGCTAATTCTGTAGTCTGCACTACAGTTTTGTCATTTGTCAAATTAAGTGATAGTGATAACAACGTATACATGAATACCCCTACTAGAGGAAATAGCCTTCCGCACGTGCCACATCTCTGCTTTTTGGCACAATTACAAATAATATTCACACAAATGGAAAGAAACCCGCTAAATGAGAGAGCGAGCTAGTTTTGTTTTCAGTTCGATGTTCGACAACAAACTTAACGGAAGTTATTTAGACTTTGCGAACTTTTAACGTCCGCCATAGTTACAATGCGTTTAATAATTTTCACCGTGACACTAAGTCTACTGGTAACTTGGTCTTGTGAACAACAACAGCAACAACAAGAACAAGAGCAACAACCGCAGCAACAGGAAAAGCAACAACAGCAACAGCAGAAACATTATAATTTATCAATTATGCTAAATGCCATTGACTCGGATATGCCATTATCTTTGCAAAATTCTATTAGTGCTTGTTCGAGTATAATACATGAGTATTTTGTACCCATTACAGGCAGTTTCATGGTCAGCACACATGTAGAGGAGTTGTATCTAAAATGGCATTTAAAAGATTTTTTGAATAATGTTTTACTCAATTTGCCCATGATAAAAGTGGAAATTGAAAGTAAGAGTTCGAGTGTTAGATATCTAACAATGAATCGTAAATATAATCTAATTGTAGTGGATAGCATCGAATCACTGAGGTAAATTGTAAATAAATTATTTGTTTATGAGAGAAAAAAATCAATATGTTATTTCTTTGGCAGACAATTAGATCCAGCTAATTACACTAGAAATTATGATATACAGGAACACTACCTGGTGTATTTAATGCATGGCTCAAGATTTGCTAATCTATTCAGTGTGCTCAATCAAATGTTTGGATATTTTTGGCAAAATTCTATTATAAATGTTTCATTAATGACAGCTAACAAAGAATTTATTGTGGATGTATTTACCTACTTTCCTTTCGACAACTATTTAACTTGTAAAATGCCTTTAGTCGAACAAATCAATTATTATTCTGGCTCTTGGTCAAAACCTATTACTTTGACAATTTTTCCTGAGAAATTGGACAATTTAGAAAAGTGTCCATTAGGTGTGGCTGTTTGGAATACACCACCTTATTTAAGCTATTTAAAAAGTGATGAAGGTTTTTATAAAATTGATTACTTTGAGGCTGTGTTGCTGGAAGTTTTGTCAGAAAAATTGAATTTTTCTTTAAATTTACAAGAACCACCTAATAATGAACAGAGAGGAAAGGTTTTAGCCAATGGCACTTTAACGGGTGCCATGAAAATGGTAAGAAAATTGTGGAAGTAAAAGCTAAGCTAGAAATTCATTCATTATAGTTTTCGTCAAGTAGAACAAGTAAGAAGTTTGAGTAGTAATAATATAGATTTTTTTTAAAACAATTTCCATATCTTTTGGAGATTTATAAGCGTTAACGGTATATTATGAAGATGTCCTTCTTTGGGAGCTTCGGTAAATTATAAACCAAATTCTATAGATCCTAATGGAACTATTAATTGTTAGATCAAATGTTTTGAAAAACGATTTATTGATAGACTGATTTTCTGAAGAAAACTTAATTAAGGACCGAATCTAATACAATTTCTTAGAGATGCAGGGAACATTATTGTATCGGAATTTTATAACGATACTAATTTTTAAAATCCTTTTAAACTTATAGTTAATTCACATGAATTAATTTTTATCACGATTACAACATAAGAACTTTTGTATGGGTCTAGGTGAAAACATGGGTCGGTTCTACATATCTCTTCTTAACTATCATTAAGTATTTTCTTATCAATTATAGTCTGGTCTATAGTCTAGTCTATAGTCTAGTCTATAGTCTAGTCTATAGTCTAGTCTATAGTCTAGTCTATAGTCTAGTCTATAGTCTAGTCTATAGTCTAGTCTATAGTCTAGTCTATAGTCTAGTCTATAGTCTAGTCTATAGTCTAGTCTATAGTCTAGTCTATAGTCTAGTCTATAGTCTAGTCTATAGTCTAGTCTATAGTCTAGTCTATAGTCTAGTCTATAGTCTAGTCTATAGTCTAGTCTATAGTCTAGTCTATAGTCTAGTCTATAGTCTAGTCTATAGTCTAGTCTATAGTCTAGTCTATAGTCTAGTCTATAGTCTAGTCTATAGTCTAGTCTATAGTCTAGTCTATAGTCTAGTCTATAGTCTAGTCTATAGTCTAGTCTATAGTCTAGTCTATAGTCTAGTCTATAGTCTAGTCTATAGTCTAGTCTATAGTCTAGTCTATAGTCTAGTCTATAGTCTAGTCTATAGTCTAGTCTATAGTCTAGTCTATAGTCTAGTCTATAGTCTAGTCTATAGTCTAGTCTATAGTCTAGTCTATAGTCTAGTCTATAGTCTAGTCTATAGTCTAGTCTATAGTCTAGTCTATAGTCTAGTCTATAGTCTAGTCTATAGTCTAGTCTATAGTCTAGTCTATAGTCTAGTCTATAGACTAGTTTATAGTCTAATCTATAGTCTAGTCTAGTCTAGTCTACAGTCTTTTGTATGGGTCTAGGTGAAAACATGGGTCGGTTCTACATATCTCTTCTTAACTATCATTAAGTATTTTCTTATCAATTATTTCTTTTCTTTTCTCAGCTTCATGACCATTCAGCCGATCTTAGTTTGGGTTCATTTCGTTATACTCTGGAGCGTTCCACAGTGTTGACAGCAGCTGTACCCTATTATCAAACGCATCAGATTTACGGTATTCTCACAAATACGCAACTTTATACATCATTGGAAATATTGTTGTATCCATTTGATAACATAACATGGATTATTATATTTTTAAGTCTTTTATTAGGTCTCTTCATAGCAATTGTCATAGACTACTTTTATGACAAATGTTTACTTATTCAAGTAGCAATAGGTTATCCAGCCCTAAAAACACCTACAACTGATGTACTTCGTTTTCTAATGGGCCAATCTTTGATACAAATTCCCGAAACTAATTTTGCACGTTTTATGATTATTTTTTGGCATATTTATGGTTTACTGCTACGCACCGCTTATCAGTCATTGCTATTTCAATTACTTAAACTAAATGTATATCATGAACCTCCTAAAACTCTGACAGATCTTATTAACCAACAATGCACTTTAGTCATGACAGAAGGTACTTACGATTCCGTTTACACTGTGAACCGCATACAGCAGGGTTTTATAGAGGTTATAAAACTACAGAATACTTCCGAACAAAGTTCGTATTTCTTCGTTGAGTACGATAAACAAGATCGCTGTTTAGCGGCTGTTTCTTCGAAAGATTTTCTAACTTACCATGTTATCAACGAACGAAAAAGAGGGGTATTTTATGTTTTACCTGAGAAAATTTTTGCTCAACACATTACTATGTATTTTTCAAAACATTCTTTTCTAATAGATCGTTTTAATGAATTGTTTATGAATCTGCGCGGCATGGGTCTCATAGACTTTTGGGCTCATCAAAGTTTGGATACGGATTATATAGAAAATAAACATAAAACTGATTTTAAGTCCATAAATCTAAGTGATATAAAGGGAATTTTAATTATTTGGAGTGTTTTACTTTTAGCAACTGTAGTTGTATTCTTCTTGGAGGTTGTCATATTTAATGTAAACGTTTTTGTATATAATGTGCAAAATTAAGTTCTTTTGAATTATAAATGATAAACAGAGAGATATTTTTGAGTAATAAATAAAGTTTGTTATGAATTATTTTATTTAAATTGTTTAATTGTTTTCTAATGATGAGTGGTAAAAGTTTGTTATTGAGAATTATAGTGATCGGGTATACCAAATTCTGGATCGTTATGTAAACTTTATAAACTGTCTTTACGTTATAGTTTACATGTCATTTTCATTCCTTAACATAATGAAATTTTACATGAAAACCTGGCCAACATTTTGAGTTAAGTGCCATTTTTGATTTTTGTTGAAATCGGTCTATGATTTCGCCTAGACCTCATACAAATTCCCCTCGGAATTTAACTTATGTTAATTATGCAACACATATGATACAATTTAGTAATGTACTCTAGAATCATGTATAATCCTAGTCTCTGTAAAAAGTCCCTTTCGGTAGTTTCATAAGTAACTTAAAAACTTATCATAAACATTAGAGTGTCCCAAGGAACAGAATCTCATATAGGAATACCGCTCAATCCATTAATGTACTGAATATGAGAAAATTCTGTGAGAAACAGTCCTTCATTGAACAGAGTACCTATAGACAATTACGCTCCCAAAATTATTAGCTGATATTGCATATCATATGATCGGATATGTCCTACTTTATATTGTTTTTAGTTTCAGTTAAAATTTTTTATTAACCTTAACGACATCAAACAAACAATAATTTAAAATAAATTCTTCTTCTTAGCTTTACGACCATACAGCCGATTTAAGTTTGGGTTCATTTCGTTACACACTCGAACGTTCCACAGTTTTGACAGCAGCAGTACCGTATTATCAAACATTTCAAATTTACGGAATACTCACAACAACTCAACTTTATACATCATTGGAAAGATTGGTGTATCCCTTCGATAATGTAACATGGATATTTTTATTTTTTAGTGTACAATTGGGTCTACTGATAGCATTTATCATAGATTACTTTTACGATAAATCTCTGCTAATACGCGTAGCAATAGGCAGCCCACGCATAAGAACTCAAGCAATTAATATAATGCGTTTATTTATGGGTCAGTCTCTGATACAAATTCCGGAAACACATTTTTCACGTTTTATGATTATTTCCTGGCATGTTTATGGTCTTTTATTACGTACCGCCTATCAGTCATTACTGTTTCAGTTACATAAATTAAATATATACCATGAACCTCCGGAAAATCTTTCCGATCTTATTAATCAGCAATGTATATTAGTTATGACTGAGGGCACTTATGATTCTGTCTATACAGTGCCTCGTATAGAACAGGGTTATATTGATGTTATAAAACTAAAAAATACTTCCGAACAAAGTTCATTTTTCTTTCTTGAAAATGATAAAAAATTACGCTGTTTAGCGGTTGTATCTCCCAAAGATTTTTTAACGTATCATGTCATAACAGAGCGCAAAAGGGGTCTGTTTTATGTTTTACCTGAAACTATCTTTGCTCAACAGATAACAATGTATTTTTCAAAACATTCCTTTTTGATAAATCGTTTCAATGAGTTATTTATGAATTTGCGCAGTATGGGTCTTATAGATTTTTGGGCCCGCAAAAGTTTGAATACGGATTTTTTGAAAAGTACTCGTGAATCCCATTTTATGCCCATAAATATGGAAAATATAGAGGGTATATTAATTATTTACAGTGTTTTGATTTTAATAGGTATTGTGATATTTTTCTTAGAGATTATTATTTTTAGAGTAAAAATATTAGCATTTGGTGAGCAGCATGAGTTTGTACATTAGTACAAAAACTGATGTAATAATTGTTGTTATTAATTCAAGGTATTTTTGTAAAAAAGTGATCTTCAATTTAATTAAATTAATTTATGTATTTTAATCAATTATTTAAATTACATTTTCTTACTACATGTTATTTTAGTTTATTTGATCTGTTGGAAAAATTTATTTGAAATACAAAAATTAGATTTAAAAATGTTAATAATTGTGTTATTTAATATGGAATTTACCCAATCTGCTATACGGATATAAAGCAAAAAATCGTGATTTACTTGTTGTGTAAAGAACTTCGTGTTTAAAGTTGACACCACCGGACATTTGGTGGAATTTTTTGTTCCATTAGCGTTGCTTAAATTAGAAATAAAAGTGAAGAAATTAAAATGATTCTACCATCAAAATTACATATATGTATGAGAGTATTTTCTTTAACAGGAAATGGTTTGAATACAGATCAATGAAATTATGCCTTTACTGTGAAATTTTAGATGCCTAAATTGGAATTGTTTTTGTAAACTTTGACCTTGAATATCTTGACATGGTGACATTTAGCTACTTATTTCAATACGAAGCTCTATGACAATTTTCATCAAGTTGTCTAAAATTGTTAATTTTAAAATTAATTTAATTAATTTTCCATTTTTTTATTACTTTCTGATCCCTTTAAAGTATGTATATGTTAACTGGATCCTAAGGTATGTCTCCCTGTGTGTATGTTTGTCGGTTGAAATAAATATTCGGAAGACGCTGTATATTTTCCGGATCCAAATTTTTAATTGTTTTATTAGAGTTCCTTTCGAGAAGTCTGCTATTAAAAAGGTGTCAATAAATAACGGCGGCAAGAACAAGTAAAAGTGTTAAATTTGACTATGTCAAATCTAATATACCCACCATCAAACCGTATACCGGAAATGGAATGTTCCTCTTTAAACATTAGGTTGATATTTGAAATACGTCTTAAGTCAATTATGGACACATCCCTCTCAGATTAATAAAATATTAATTTTTAAAAACAAAATATTTTGTCAATCGGGGTCAATTATAAAAATCGGTAGAGAGATTTTACCTTGTAAGAAACTTACTTCTTAAAATCGAATTTCATAGCTATACTCGCATTTTTAAGCCAGTAATGTGCGTTAAAGTCATTTTCTGAAGGGGGCCTTTTATGGGGCGTAGGGTCAATTATGGACCGATTCTCACAAAATTCGCTAGAGAGATTTTAACTTATAAGAAACTTGCTTATATCGATTTTAATCGCTATGAGTGTTAAGGTAATTTTCTGGATTAAAAAACTTATTTTTTTAAACACTTATGACTGTTCGGGAGGCCACTTATATGGGGGCTATGCGAAAAAGTGAACCGATATGGCCCATTTTCAATACCAAATAAACCTTGCCTATAAGAAATATTTGCGGACTCTATCGTGCTTTCAACAGTAAAAGACTTAAAACTTTTGTCTTTTTAAAGAAACACGTCTTTTTATTACAAAGGTTTAAACGAAAGTCGTTTTATTAATATGAAAAACTATTTTCAATAAATATTAAATTATGACAATCAATTCAAAGTAAAAAAAATTCGAGAATCAGGATAAGGCTACTAAGTGTAAAATACATTTAAAATAAAATAATAAAGTTATTGCATAATAAACAAGTGTTTCTCATAGTCGGCTATCCTGCATTTAAAGCGTCCTCGCTTTCATCATCAGGAGAATCATATTCGGTATCATCATCAAATGTAGGCGGCAATTCCCAACAAGGTTTCAATTTGTCTGAAGCATAAACTGATGAATAATGACGTGTTGTTCTTTTTGAATTCGGAAGATCTTCGATAATATATCTATCTTTATCAAGAACCTTGGACACTATAAATGGACCTTTGTACCGAGGCTCTAATTTACGAGACATACCACTGCTTTGTGGTTCGTTTTCAGCAAGTACGAGTTCATCAACTTTGTATTTGTGAGGAATGGAATGTTCTCTGTCGTATTGATCTTTTGCTTGTTTTCGTTTCTCATTAATGTTTTCGGAAGCCTTCTGTCTTATATTCTTCATTTCGTCTTCAGTAACATGATTATTATTGTGAACTACTAGTAAGATCTTGTTTTGCAAAATATCTCTTGGTGAATAACAAAATAGTAGCTCATGAGGACTTTTACCAGAAGTTTTATTCTTCATTGTGTTTAAAGACCATTGAATATTCGTTAAATGTTCATCCCAGCGTTTATCATTCTTTGTAGTAGGTAAAAGCATCGAGAGTAAAGTTCGATTTGTTCTCTCAGCATGACCGTTGGCTCTTGGAGTTCTGACAGCATTAAGTACATGTTTGATATCATTATCCGAACAATATCTCTTGAATTCGTTTGAGGTAAAAGCGGTTCCTCTATCCGTTATTATACGTGTTGGAACGCCAAAATAACTCGAAAACTCATTTAAAATGCTTATAACGTACCTGGTCGCAGTACTTTTGACAGCTCTAATTAGCGTAAATTTAGTAAAGGAGTCAACCACAACTAAAATATGTTCATTACGTTTACTGCTTTTTGGAAAAGGTCCCAAATGATCCAAATGAATTGTGTGAAATGGTACAGGATCTATATCATTAAAATGGTATTCACCTTCCATACGACCACCTTTGTTTTTATTGTAAGCACATTCAATACATGCTTTAATATACGACTTAACAAAATTTCTCATTCTTGAGAACCACACATAACTTAAAAGTTTATCAATCGTCTTTTCAACACCAAGATGTCCATTTTTATCATGGCAATCTTCTACTACTCTCCATCGCAACGCTTTTGGAACAACCCACAAGTTCTTGTTGTCATATTTTCGAAATAGTCTGCCATTCTCTAAAAGATAATCTTTTAATACAGTTTTATCTTTATTTTGAAGTTTGGATATAATTTCTTTTATTGAATCGTCTTGGATTTGCATTATAGATAACCAGTCGTCGTCGTGTAGATTAACTTTATCTATTTTAAGAGTAGCGACATCTATATCACTTGGAGGCTCGTTAGGCATACGGCTTAGGGCATCAACATGTTCCATACATTGACCCTTTCGGTGTTCCAAAATCACATCAAAATCTTGAATTCTTAACCACCAACGAGCTATACGTGGAATTAGTTCTCGTTTCGTCATAGCTGACTTAACAGCACTACAATCTGTTATGACTTTAACTTGCTTACCATGTATATAATAACGAAACCTTTCTAATGTTTCGACCACTGCTAAAGTTTCCAGTTCATAACTGTGAAAATTCTTTTCCGTTGGACTTGTTGAACGACTGTAATATGCTACGGGTCTTAATTTACCATTTTCTTGTTGTAATAATACTCCAGCTAATCCAATAGAACTTGCGTCAGTGTGAATTTCATGTTCTGCTTCCAAACGAAAAGCTGACATAACGGGCTGAGATGACAACTTGTTTTTCAATACGTTAAATGATGTTTCTTGTTCATTTGTCCAAACAAATTGTTGATCCTTTCGAAGGAGTTTTCTTAGTGGTTCAGATATTATAGAATAATTTGGAATAAATTTACGAAAATATCCACTTAAACCCAAAAATTTTCGTATTTCTTGAACATTTCCAGGACGTTTGAATGCTTCTATAGCTGCAGACTTTACCTTTCCAGGACAAATGCCATCAGGAGTTAACTGATGTCCTAAAAATTCGATAGTTGTTTTGAAAAATTCACATTTCTTTATATTTAACGTCAAATTTGCTTCTTGTAGCACTTTAAGTACAATTCTTAATTTATCAAACATCTCTTGTTCTGTGTTACTACCAATAAGAATATCGTCCATATAGTGTATCATATTCTCTTTACCAGCACGTTCTCGAATTTTTGCCATTAATCTTTGAAAAACCATTGGCGCGTTTTTTAGACCAAAAGGCATACGTTTAAATTCGAAGAGACCGTCAGTAGTAATGAAAGCTGTATACTTACGACTTTCAGGTTCAATTAAAATTTGATAATAACCACTGTTCATATCTAATGTTGTAAAGTATTTAAATTTCATGGCTTCTTGAAGACACTCTTCTATATTTGGCGTAGGGAAATTTTCTTTAACCATTAACTGATTTAATTGTCTGTAATCAATGCATAATCGATCACTTCCATTTTTCTTTTTTTGAAGTACAACTGGACTTGCATATTCTGAATTCGAAGGGGTTATTATGTCGTTGTCTAAAAGTTCTTGGACCATATTTCTAATTGTCTCTTTCTTTGGTTCTGGAACACGATACGGAGCTTGTGACACAATTTTAGAATTTATTAAATTTATTTTCATTTCAACTAAATCCGTTTTACCGAGATTTTGTAATGTATTTGAAAACACGCTTTTATTTTCTATAATTACTTCGTTTAATTTCGCTTTTGTATCTTCATCATCTAAATCACATTTTATACACTGTTTATCAATTTCAAAACTTTCAAATTCGTTTTTTCCGTCTTTAACATTTTTATTAATATTATTAACAGTTTTTATTTGTGCATAAAATTTATTTTCAATTATCATTTTTCCGTTTACAACCGACAAAGTTATATTACCGCTTGCGAAAATGTCTTGTCCCAGCAAAACATCCGTTAATAAAAGTTCATCATCGATTACATATAAGGTGACAAGTATTTCAATGTTATTTATTATCAAATTGAGAACAACTTTTTCGTTGGCTACGCGAATACCACCACAGATACCAGAGATTCGCATACTGCACACAATTCGTTCCGAGATTATTTGTTCACAAACAGATCTTTTTATTAAACTACACTGACTTCCGGTGTCAACGAAAGCACTTAATGTGTTACCATTTATCTTCACATTTATTTTGAAAATATCATCGCCATAACAAAACATATTTCTTATTGCGACATTCTGCTTACATTCAGTTTCATTTTTCGCGTGAACTTTATGACATTTTTCACAACGATGACGCTTTTGAGGTTTTGGACAATTTGTAGAAATGTGACCTATTTCATTACAGTTATAACACTTAATTTCTTTTCCCGATTTGTTTGTGTATTCTTTTTTCGGATTGTCACTATTAATGTTTTTAGGTATTGCACCGGTTGCACTTTTATTTTTGGTATCATTTGTTTTTAATATACGTTTATCCGACACATTTCTTTCGTACTCACTTAAAATTTCCCGTAATTGTTTAACCGAATCGATTTTATGAGCAGCGATAGCAACTTGAATTTCGCGATTCTGTAGTCCTTCCCGAATATATTTAACGATTGCTTTTTCACTCAACTTGTGTCGTTTACCAAGCGCGCAAATTCTAAAACAATAATCCGTTACTTTTTCATCACTTTTCCGAACGGCACTTATCATTTTAAAATGAATTTCTGCTTCATCTTGTGACGCTGCAAATTCTTTTATTAACTCTCTGGAAAAATCATTCCATTTGGAATGCAGAACTTGAAGAGAATCTAACCATAATCGTGCGGCGCCTTTCATTTTACTGTACACCGCAAGAAGTAAACACTTTTCTTCCCATCGATATGCCTGTATTGCACTATCTACACGTTCCACAAATTGTTCAACAGATAATGACAATTCGTTCGTTGGGTCAAATTCTGGAATTGTTTCGGCAATTTCTCGAACAGAATAATTTGCATTTTGACGTGAGCTTGGGTATTCGTTAGAAATTGTATTGACATGTTGACGTTGCATATTACCTACATGTTGGACGTTTGATGTAGCGTTTTGTTGACGATTAATGTCTACATACGTTTGGAATATATTCATCGTATTTTCCAACATTTTCCTTAAGTCATCAACTTGCCGCTGCAAGCTCATAACATTACTGGTTTGAGGAATTTGAGTTACGTTTGATTCCTCGTCGTTAGGAGGAGCGATGGTTGAAGACGTTTCCTCAAATTCATCAATATCCTCGTCGTTTTCACCAATTTCGTCGGTACCAAGGAAACTTGAGAGACGTAGAACAAGTTCTGCCTTTGAACCTGATGTTGGTAATTCACGTTCGCGTAATAGCTGTTTTAGCTCATCCACTTTCAATGTTGAAAGTTTTTTCATCTTGGAAACGTTAGGTAAAAATTCGTTGTTAATAAAATATCCGTTCAGATCCCACTTCTGATCTAAAAGACTTAAAACTTTTGTCTTTTTAAAGAAACACGTCTTTTTATTACAAAGGTTTAAACGAAAGTCGTTTTATTAATATGAAAAACTATTTTCAATAAATATTAAATTATGACAATCAATTCAAAGTAAAAAAAATTCGAGAATCAGGATAAGGCTACTAAGTGTAAAATACATTTAAAATAAAATAATAAAGTTATTGCATAATAAACAAGTGTTTCTCATAACAGCCAGACAGACAGACGGACGGACAGATGAACAAATATGGCTAGATCGTCTAGAATCGGCTAGGACGCAGAATATACATACTTTTTCAAAAAAAAATCCAAAAATTTTAATTCAATAAAAATAAAATTTTTGAACGCTAGATCAAGTTTAACCTTTTGTAAATAGAGGTTTTTAATTGTCTTCAACTTTTACACCCATAGCTGCTGTTGGTTACCGTATAGTCGAGAATATACAAAAATAGTCTTTCTTTGTATTGGTGTTTATGAAAATAATTGTACTACGATATAATCAGTATTTTATTGGCTACTTGCTCTCTTCTAATAAGGTTTTATAACTTTATGTAATGATTTATATTTCTAATGAATTAATCCTATAATTATCAATGAAATTTTCAAGTTAGCGCCTTTGGCTTAAATGCTTCTAATATGATTAAATTTTATATATATGTAATTATTAAACAAAAAGTTGAACTAACCAATTTATCAACTAAACACATTCATTCATAAAAATACTTAACCAACTATACATATTTAGAAATAAAATTTTATATATCTGAATAAATAAGTAATTATAATATTACATTTCATTAAGAAATCTCAAAATCCCTTAAGGTCATTACTCAATTATTAAAGTTTGTAATAAGTATAAATTAAGTTTTAGGTTTAATTTAAGTAATGTATATATAACAACTAATAATAATATTAATTTTGTTGCTTAAACCAAAAACAATAAATTTGTATTAAATAAATTAAACAAAAGCATAAAAGTAAATATCGAATACAAAAGTGTGTTTAGTTTATATTTTAACATATCACCAGGAACATGCAGAATAAAAGTTTGACTCCCTTAGTATTGATAATGGTTGTGTTGTTATTTAAAACGAATATAAATTTAAATTGGGCCTGTGAGAGTAAAAATTTATATAACGCTTTGGGCTTAATAATAAAACAGACATTTCTAGAAAACGAAAGTCGTTTGTTATTCTTTGTAAATTTCAATGAGTCGATGGAATATCGTTTCTATGCAAATGACTTTATCAATGCCATATTGTGTGATATTAATAATGCCACCTATAAGGTTTTATATCAAAGACAAAAAATCTTTTTGCATTTAAAACATAATGAAATTATTTTAATGGATAATATAAGATCATTCAAGTAAGTATTTTTTTCGGTATATAATGTTTAATAAATTGTTAATAAATTACTTCTTTTTTAAAGATATTTTTTCAGCAAATTATATAATGTGGGCAATATGAATCTCTCACGCACTTTACTGTTTATCTCTTCACTGAAAACCTTGGATTACGATACAATTTATTTAATATTTAAAGATTTATATCGTATGGATATAATAAGAATAGTATTAGTGGTAGAATTGTCGCAGGATGATATTGTCATGTTAACTTATTTTCCCTTTACACCCACATCTTGTCGAAGTTTTGAACCTGTTATTATAAATCATTATTTGGTTGACGAACAGCGTTGGGAAAATATTGACTATTTTCCCCATAAGTTAAATAATTTTTATGGATGTCGTGTTACTTGCTGCACCTGGCAAGATATGCCTTATCTTAGTGTGAAGCCATATAAGAAAAATAATAATAATGCTATAGATTATGTAGGCATGGAAGCAGAGCTATTGAAATTTGTAGCTGGACGATTGAATTTTTCGATAGATATCAATTGGATTGATCCAATTAAGGAAGATGTTACTAATAAAGGAGCTATTTTTGCTAAGGTAAAGTTGTTGGAATTCGTATTGGGAGGTAAAAGTAATTTCGTAAATATAAAAAAATTTAAGTCTTTGGTCAAAATTTTTTTCCATTTTTCCTGATTTAAGGTTTCGGCTATAAAGTTTGATGGCGATATTCATATTGATTTTGTCATTACGTTTGTAATACGTAGATGTATTGGTCTAAGACCCATAAAAGTATATATGTATGAATATTCTGGGTCCTTATAAGATTCTAAGACATTCTGGCTATCTCCGTCCGTCTGTTGAAAACTCGGTAGGGTCCAAACGAAATAAGATTTGGTATTGTTTTGGTATTGAAAATGTGCAATATCGGTTTACGATTTCACACAGCTCCTATATAAGGCCCTCTTCAGAAAATGAGCGATGAAATAAGTTTTATAGGAGCAAAAATGTCAGATAGATTTTATGTCTGATAGTAAATAATCCTAATCTAATCATCACGAAACTACTTTAACCCTTAACCACAAAAACTCTTATATCTAAACCAACTACAATTAATTTTCATTTCTCATTATCCTCTCTCTCTCTCCACACTTTCTACAAACAACAGATGTTTGCCCGTACTTGTGACTTTGCATTGGGTGGCTTTAGCTATAGAAAAGATTTAGATTCTACCTCAACATTTTCACAAACTAATTACTTTATGCTCAGTCCCATCTATATAGTTACTAACGTTATCAATTTCTATACGACATATGAAAAACTAGCATTTCCATTTCATTATACCGTATGGTTTGCGCTTGGTTTAATTTTTGCTCTAAGCTCTTTACTCATCTGTACTTGTGGACAACGACGACAATGGTTACGTTATCGAAATTTTTTAATTGGTTCCGCTAATAAAACACCCCACTTCCATTTGTATGCGCTGGCGGTGGGCGCCACAATGACAACGGCTCAAATGCCAAAACATAATTTTGCACGATTTCTACTCACCTGCTGGCTAATGGTAACGTTAATACTACGCAATGCCTATCAGTCGGGCATTTATCAAATGTTGCGTGACAATAAGCAATGGAATCCACCGCAAACGATTGAAAATGTATTTGAGCAAAACTATTTGATTAGCACGACACCGGAAAATCGTAGATATTTTGATATTCTGCCGGATGTTAAGCGCAAGCAGCTTTTTAATACCACAATATTGGAAACATTTTCAGAATTGTTAAATGCTGAAAAACCGATAGCCTTCATCACACCCTACGAGTACTATGGCTATTTTGGCAAAGTGAACGGTAGTCAGTGGCAACATTTGCATTTGGTTAGAGAGCGTCTGTTAACACAGCAACTAACCATTTATGTACGTCATCATTCATACTTTATAAATGTACTAAATGACCAGATATCCGATGCACAATACCACGGCTTTATAACATTGTGGAATCGTCAATATAGTCTTTCAATGACGACAGCATTAAAACTTTCCTCTTACATTCAAATGAATGGCCATTTAAATTCGGATAAAAATCCTCTATCAATGAATGAATTGGGTGCAATTTTTATGATTTTAGTCTGGTTGCATGTGCTCTCATGTGGAGTTTTTCTAATCGAATTAATGTGGCATCGTTATGGTAATGTTGTTAGAAATTGGTTACATTTAAAGTTTAAGTTGTAATTTTTAAAAGTTTTATTTTAGTTTTGAATAAAGTGTTAAATTTGTGTGTATCCCTTTGTTTGTAATTTTTAATAAATAAATAAGTTTATTTTGAAAATATTTCTTAATAACAAGATCTTGGGAATAACTTTTTAATTATTTTTTTTTGTAATTTTTTATAAATAAATAAGTTTATTTTGAAAATATTTCTTAATAAAAAGATATTGGTAATAACTTTTTAATTATTACTATAGTCTAGATTCCAAAGAAGTAGAGTATTAATGCATTTGTTTCGTAAGGAATGTTTTAAAACTTGACAATGACGTGTATTTTCACAACAACATACTTCTTAATGACTCTATCCCATATGCATGGGATGGGTGTATATTGATTTTGTCACTTCGTTTGTAACACATCGAAATATTGATCATAGACCCATAAACTATATATGTATATCCTTTGACCTTATTCTAAGACGATCTAGTTATGTCCGTCCGTCTATCTATGTTGAAAGTATGCTAGAGGCCACGTGGGAGGAGCTAGAGAATTGAAATTTTGTAGAGTTATTTCTAATTAATAGGGTTTGCTTGGTATGTATTGAAAATGAGCATATCAGTTCACGATTTCACCTAGCCCCCATACAAGCGATATCCAGGTATACTGGGGCCAAATTACGGCATACGATATCGATCGAAATCTCAATAGAATATAAATGGAGATTTCGATCGATATCGTATGCCATAATTTGGGCCCTGTTTAAAGATTCTTAAATAAGTTAATTAGACAGCAATTGTGATTTTGCACACACTGTTTATATGAACTCCGATGCAGTGATGTGGTGACATCGGACTATATGAAGACCCCTTCTGCAAATGTCTTTAACTCTCATAATTGCCTTAGTAATAGCAATATATTGATGAAATTCGACAAAAAAATAGTTTTAGAAGAACAAAAACCGCTCTTCCAAATCTGATAAGGATCAGTTGACCCGACCTCCATATAAGGTCACCATCCGAAAAGGTCTTTAACCCTTATAACAAGCATAAAAATACCAGTAGATAGCCTGCAAATAATTTTACTATAAAAAAGAAAATTTAAATAAATCTGTTAATTGAAACAAATTATCCGGATTAGTTGCAGTTTTAAGTTATTCGAACGGTTAGTTCACCAAGCTTAATAAAACCACGGTTAATTGATTGAAACCCTAGAAAATATATTTATTCAATGTATATCAGTGTAAACAAACAAATATTGTTTTAATGTCTTATATAAAGTCTTCATTGTAGTCTTATCTTGACTATAATTTAGTAGATACTATTGATTGTAATCTAATTTATAGTCTTTACTTTAGAAATATTTGGTGTTGGGTGTCATAAATTTGACAATACATAGGCCATGTATTAACCTAAAAAAAAATTAAAAAAAAAAACAATTTTGTATAAATACTTTTTACCATGTAAAATATACAAGAACTGGCCTTCGATATTTGATAACAGTTGAAACTGAAATACAGCTGTCCATCTAACTATCAGCTATATAAAGGGACATGCATGTAGACATATACCACCGTACACATGTACAACAATTTTTTAGTAGTAATAATAGCAACAACATATAAACATTAACTGGTTGTAAATATTTACTTAGTAAACGATGCATGTGTGAATATGTTTGTATTAGTATTCTTACATACATGAATACAAATGTAAAAAGTGATGTATTTCATGTATCATGTATGTATGGTATGTATTTTGTTCGCATCACCCTCAAACTCAGTATTGTTTGGTTAAACATTCGTAGTTGTAGTTTTGTATATTCTTTTTGTTGATAATTGTTGTTGTTGTTGCTGCTGTTGTAGTGTGGTGTAAATTTTGTTGTTCCTATACCATTTAAAATGTTGTTAACGCAATTTTCCATTTCGATTTCCGTTGTTATTTCCGGCCGCTTTTTTTGTTGGCTGCATGTATACATACACCCGCATGCACTCACACATTAATACAAAACAACGGCAATAGATAGACATTTGTACATCACTATTGTGTGCATGTATTTGAAAAAATCCATTACACATAGATACTTTTCGAAATTGTAAAATTCGGCTAGTCGACTGAATTTAAATTGTATTTTTCCTCCGCAAACTTCCGTTGCCGTTTTCAGCTTGTTTTCGCTTTTTTGCGAATTTAGTTTTAGAATATTTTCATGTTAAGGTTATTATTGTTGTTGCTGCTGTTGTGATGTTTACTTTGGTTTTGTGTATTTTGCCTGTTGTTGCTTAATCCTTACAGCCATGAATGTCATGCAATCATTTTAATCCAACTAACAGCTCTAGGTGGAGTGAAGTTGAACAGTGAACACCATTGCTGCTTGTACATTAGAGAAAAAATTCACGATTTTTTTTCGTTGGTATTTACATACAAATGAAAATTTTAAATATTTAAAGATATACAAAAAAATATATAGCATCCAGAGAGTAAAAGTCGGCTGTAGTTTATGTGTGTTATTTTTTTCGTTCGTAGTGAAAAAGTTAGTTATTATGTTGTCTGAAAGTATTTTGATTTATTTTTATTTAGCTCTACTGGTTGTTGGTGGTAAAGAATTAAGTTTAATTTAGTTGTATTAAGCTTTAGATGATAAACTGCTTACATTTGGTGCTGTGGCAAATTAAGTAATTAAGCCGTGTTTCGTTTAACAAACAACAGATATTTGACGAAAATTTGAATAGTTTTAAACAATTTAACGGGGATGAACAAGAGATAATATTTTTTAGTTTTGCTTTAATCCATCTATAACATATTTAGAAGAGTATAAACTGTGGAGGTTTTCTAGAAATAAAGCTTTCTGAGACATCCCGTGTCTTGAATATGGGATCTCATTACACAAGTCTAAGTTTAATTCGATAGTTTGTTCATCACTGATTTATTGAAAGTTTGATTCTGAATCGTCATTAGGGTATTCCATGTCGTCCTAGTTCAGTTCTAGTTCAGTTCTAGTTCAGTTCTAGTTCAGTTCTAGTTCAGTTCTAGTTCAGTTCTAGTTCAGTTCTAGTTCAGTTCTAGTTCAGTTCTAGTTCAGTTCTAGTTCAGTTCTAGTTCAGTTCTAGTTCAGTTCTAGTTCAGTTCTAGTTCAGTTCTAGTTCAGTTCTAGTTCAGTTCTAGTTCAGTTCTAGTTCAGTTCTAGTTCAGTTCTAGTTCAGTTCTAGTTCAGTTCTAGTTCAGTTCTAGTTCAGTTCTAGTTCAGTTCTAGTTCAGTTCTAGTTCAGTTCTAGTTCAGTTCTAGTTCAGTTCTAGTTCAGTTCTAGTTCAGTTCTAGTTCAGTTCTAGTTCAGTTCTAGTTCAGTTCTAGTTCAGTTCTAGTTCAGTTCTAGTTCAGTTCTAGTTCAGTTCTAGTTCAGTTCTAGTTCAGTTCTAGTTCAGTTCTAGTTCAGTTCTAGTTCAGTTCTAGTTCATTTCTAGTTCATTTCTAGTTCAGTTCTAGTTCAGTTCTAGTTCAGTTCTAGTTCAGTTCTAGTTCAGTTCTAGTTCAGTTCTAGTTCAGTTCTAGTTCAGTTCTAGTTCAGTTCTAGTTCAGTTCTAGTTCAGTTCTAGTTCAGTTCTAGTTCAGTTCTAGTTCAGTTCTAGTTCAGTTCTAGTTCAGTTCTAGTTCAGTTCTAGTTCAGTTCTAGTTCAGTTCTAGTTCAGTTCTAGTTCAGTTCTAGTTCAGTTCTAGTTCAGTTCTAGTTCAGTTCTAGTTCAGTTCTAGTTTCAGTTCTAGTTCAGTTCTAGTTCAGTTCTAGTTCAGTTCTAGTTCAGTTCTAGTTCAGTTCTAGTTCAGTTCTAGTTCAGTTCTAGTTCAGTTCTAGTTCAGTTCTAGTTCAGTTCTAGTTCAGTTCTAGTTCAGTTCTAGTTCAGTTCTAGTTCAGTTCTAGTTCAGTTCTAGTTCAGTTCTCAGTTCTAGTTCAGTTCTAGTTCAGTTCTAGTTCAGTTCTAGTTCAGTTCTAGTTCAGTTCTAGTTCAGTTCTAGTTCAGTTCTAGTTCAGTTCTAGTTCAGTTCTAGTTCAGTTCTAGTTCAGTTCTAGTTCAGTTCTAGTTCAGTTCTAGTTCAGTTCTAGTTCAGTTCTAGTTCAGTTCTAGTTCAGTTCTAGTTCAGTTCTAGTTCAGTTCTAGTTCAGTTCTAGTTCAGTTCTAGTTCAGTTCTAGTTCAGTTCTAGTTCAGTTCTAGTTCAGTCTAGTTCAGTTCTAGTTCAGTTCTAGTTCAGTTCTAGTTCAGTTCTAGTTCAGTTCTAGTTCAGTTCTAGTTCAGTTCTAGTTCAGTTCTAGTTCAGTTCTAGTTCAGTTCTAGTTCAGTTCTAGTTCAGTTCTAGTTCAGTTCTAGTTCAGTTCTAGTTCAGTTCTAGTTCAGTTCTAGTTCAGTTCTAGTTCAGTTCTAGTTCAGTTCTAGTTCAGTTCTAGTTCAGTTCAGTCAGTTCTAGTTCAGTTTCTAGTTCAGTTCTAGTTCAGTTCTAGTTCAGTTCTAGTTCAGTTCTAGTTCAGTTCTAGTTCAGTTCTAGTTCAGTTCTAGTTCAGTTCTAGTTCAGTTCTAGTTCAGTTCTAGTTCAGTTCTAGTTCAGTTCTAGTTCAGTTCTTGTTCAGTTCTAGTTCAGTTCTAGTTCAGTTCTAGTTCAGTTCTAGTTCAGTTCTAGTTCAGTTCTAGTTCAGTTCTAGTTCAGTTCTAGTTTAGTTCTAGTTCAGTTCTAGTTCAGTTCTAGTTCAGTTCTAGTTCAGTTCTAGTTCAGTTCTAGTTCAGTTCTAGTTCAGTTCTAGTTCAGTTCTAGTTCTAGTTCAGTTTCTAGTTTCAGTTCTAGTTTAGTTCGAGTTCAGTTCTAGTTCTAGTTCAGTTCTAGTTCAGCTCTTGTTCAGTTCTAGTTCAGTTCAGTTAAAGGAAAATTTATACGCACCCTTCTCACAAAGCTGAAGTAGTAAATGACGGCCAAGTCTTGCGGAAATTGAGGCAGATCATGAATGAGACAATAAATATTTAATTTCGCCCCTTAATTTTCAAACACA